TATATATATATCTATATATATATAGATATATATATAGCATTATTTTGTATAAGGAAAATCAGTATTTGTATGTAAAGAGGACACCCTTAACAATCAGCAACTTCATTTTTATCTCTGTCTTATGAATTTTAGTTATAAAATTAGAAATATTCATGTCCCATATGCAAATATTTACATAATACACCCTTGCAATCTTTTGCATTTGATGTTTATCACACCAAAATACAGCCTTATGGTTGTTGACGTTTAAACTTTACTCATGTTTTTTCAAGTGTACAGTCATTAGTCATAGTTTCATATACTGTTAGGGCTTTGTGGCTTTAGAGTGTGTATGTGCTCTGCGAATATCAAAAGCGTCACATAACAGAGAACATTTCCACAAAGCGGCCCCGACATTAAAGCCTGATAACATACATGGCTGTGATTGAGGGAAATATTGCTGCAGAATGCAAGACATTTCGTAAACTTTCAATTTTATAGAGGTCTAAAAAACAAGTAAGAGGAAGTTTGTACTGTGGATAAAAAAACCTCATAATCTGTCAATGAATTTAAAGCGCCTAACTAAAACTCCCGCTGTGCATTCTTGCCTTTTATATTTCACCAATAATGAGGCTTAATGTGGATCTCAGTGGAAAACATTCAAGCAAAAGAAAACATATTATATGGCAATCCTTTGCAGATTTCTGCAATTGATTTGTAAAGTAATTTCTATATAAAAGAAATGCCACATAAAAGTCAAAGGAATTGAAGTGATCTTACAACATGCCGTGAATATTATCTGATGGATCTTGATTTGTGTGTTCTCTTCTTAGACCCTGCCCAATATTACCAGAACTTTCAGAAATGATCCGAATCTACAACAGCCAATACTACAACTTCCTGCAGCAGGCGGATGCCCTTCGTCAATCAGGTATGCTCTGCGATGTCATTATCTCAGTGCAGAGCCAAACTTTTCGGGCACACCGGTTAGTTTTAGCCTGTGCTAGTAGAGCGTTAGCGCAGCACCTGGCCAAAGCTGACTCGGACAGCCCAGCCCTTTGCACGTTGGAGTATTTCACTCCCCAAACCTTCCAGCAAGTTCTGGACTTCACTTACACTCAAGCTCTTGAAGTGCCAGCAAAAGACCTGAAGCAACTGCTGAGAGCTGCCCAGCTCTTAGAAATGCAGCTGCTGGAGGACCAGTGCCGCAAACAGCTTGACTGTCTCGAAGCCAGAAAGGAAGATGAGAGCAGAGAAGCGGCTGACCTCAGAGAGGAAAAGAAAGGTTTACAAGAGACAGATCAAACGCAAAAAAGTAAAATTCTCGAGAACAAACTCCAACAGATATCCTCCCCAGAAGAAAAATCAAGCGTTGGCATCATCATGGAAAATGTTTCACCTGCCGATTCTAATGATATCCGTAACAACCAAAAATCCCCAAGAAGGAAGGCAGGATTGTCCCCAATACCAGCAGCACTGTGCAACAGAGATAGCGTGATTACCAGGTCCAACACTAGCAGCTCATCTTTTTCCCCTGCATGGGCATTCCCAAACATGTGGGTCTCTGGGAATCACTTTAAAACCTTAGGCCAAATTTCTGAGAACTACTCAAACTTCATTGCAGCTCATCCCCTTCCATCTTCCAACCAGACCTCTGTAATGTACCCATTCTCCCTTTCTTCTCAGCACATGTTCCCTTTGCTTAGTTCCCATTTTCAAACTCCCTTACAAAATGCTGCACTGGGATACTCACACTTTCACCCCCATCCCTATGCTCACGGATGGACCTCACGAATGGGCAGTATGATCAAGAACAGTCTTTTGAAAAAGAAGAAATCAAGCCAAACAAGTCAAACTGGGGAGACAAGGTAAGACAGCCTTCTGATTTAACTTTGAAAACGTTTTTTTTGCACAAAGTCTCCATGGTTTTCCTACTGCAGACTCATTTTAGAACCCCCTGGTCTGCTCAGTTGTTCCTTTGCGACAGCTACCATACTTGACTCACTGCTGGTCGGGTAGAGGTGTGTTTGTGCGTGTTGTGGGTGCGTGTGATCGTGCCTCCTGCACTTTCCTGCTTGATTGGTTTCAACTGTTAACCCTTCCCTGTCCCATCAATTGTGTTGAGGTCTCTTTTGTGAAAAAAAACAAAAACAATCCAAGTCACTACAACACAACTTTTTTCTTTTTAATGTTATTTAAGTCCTTTGATGATTTTTTTTAAAGTGACATTGAAGTTTCACATATTTAGAATAAATTACATCTGAGATTTCTTTTCGCTTTTCAAATTTCTGTTTCTATGCAAAAAGCCAAAATTCTCTCACGTCACTATAAAGAAGCAGCATTTGTGAATAAAGGGGCCCCCCCTCCAATTCTCCCTAACTTAACTCAATTTTATATTTTCCACCCACTTAAACGTATTTTCTCTGTTTCGACAGTGCGTCTACACCACAAAAACATAGTTCACAATGTAAAAGAGACTTTGTGGGGGAAAAGAAGACCTTCCATGGTGTCTCCCACTCATTTGTTCTTTCTAATCAGATCTTTCAAGAAAGGAAAACTATATCTATACACCTCAAAGTGCTATAAATATCTCTGCATTTTAGTAACAGGGAAAGTAAATAAATTGTATGCAAACTGACATTTTCCTGTTCAGAAATAAAATCCAGAAAATATCTTTACAAAAATGGGTCTTTGGCACACAGGTATTTGTTGTTTATTTGATTTTTTGTTTGTTTTTTTAACATCATAACATCTGCAGTTGTCTCACCGCAAAATATTCTTTGTGTAGCTTTCCAGAAGCGCAAAAAGTTAGGGGAAGACTTGAAGATTGCCAACACTGCAGTAAAAGAGTCCTTTGTGATCCACTGCTGCGGGAGTCAGGCTCCACACGATTGGGTAAGAAAACAATCACACAAAAATGGTGAATATTAGAACAAGTATGGCACACAGAGCACATTGCTGTTACTACAATTGCAGGAGGGGTGATTCTGAGTAAAACAGGTCAATTTAACAAAATAGTGAAATACTTCAGTGTGACCCCTAACCTTGGTTCCATCGATGCAGCTACGCAATGGAAAGTGATAAAGAGAGTTGTGGTTTTGAAAGCATGGTGCAATAGGAGCAGTAGTGTGGTTACCAGATACAGCTAGATATATACAGTACAGTATGTGCTGCAGTGAAAGCGCGGTTTGTCCTTAGGCAAAAAGTCTAACAAATTTGATGTGTTCTGATAAATTCTTCTGAAGATGACAGCACAAACAGGATCTGCATGGGGGCCTCTGCAAGGGCCTCTGCAAGAGTGAAAGTGTAAAACTGAGCAGATAAAGACTTTTATTCATTTGATAGAACGGTATGTTCATGTTTTGACAGCTACGAAAAACAAAAAAGTGGTATTACCATGGTGAAGATAAGAGTAAAATTTAGAGTTGCTTAATTCTACAATAAATATCTAAGCAGCACAAAATGCAGAACGACAAATTGGACAGGAAACACAGACAAACGGTGACAGATCTCGCTAGGTTGCGTTTTTTAGAGTGGTAGGTGTTGAGTTGTTGTGGTCGATTCTCTCCTGTTTTTTCCTCTCACTACAGTAGGCCTATACCCGCTCCATATTTCAGCATCCTGTCTATAGGCTACTGTGAGGGCTATGTTTTCTCTTTAAAAAAGCCAAAAAAGCATGCAGGACAGCGAAACCTCCACTTTTTTTAAAAACCTCAAAAATCACACCTTTTGTAAAAGATTTAAAGAGATGAACTCGAAGAGCTCACAGGAAAGAAACCTTACACATGGTTATCTATACTCTTGCAACAGGATGCTTAATAAAAATATGCACTTAGTGAATACTATGTGACAGAAAAACCTCATTGTAGAGTTCACAAAATTTTTTCTGGGTTGCTTTAATAAATATAGTTAGAAAACTTTTAATTACATAGTATTGACATTTAATTAAGCTTTTGTCTCAATGTTAAGTTGACTAGGAACCTAATACTTATTTACCATGAGGAACCAGCCTGAAGGCAGGATTAAAAGCAGATATAAAATTAAAATAAAATAAAGATTTAATTGAAAAAATCAAGTTAAATTAAGAACATAAACCAAAAATATGAATATAAAGTGAGAATTGTTTCAGATTATAGAAAGCAGTGTCAATATAAGAAGATCTGTTATTTTGAGATGTAAAAAAAAAAAATCAGTTTTTTCAGCTTAAATTTCAGAAACAGATCAAAAAATTTGCCAGTTAGGTTTCTGATATTTGAAGCATCAGTTGGTAAAATTTCAAATGAATAATATTTCGTGGTACCCTCCTCAACTGTCTGTTATTCTTTTAAAAAAGTGAATCCTTTTGGTAACCCCTATGTAATCACGCATGTATTTTATTTTCTTAAAAAAAAAAAAAAAAAAAACTGTTAAGAATCATTTAATGTGGTATATCCTGTTGTGCACGGTATGTTTTTTAACACCATTTATAACTGCCATTCAGACATTCTAATTTGGTTTGCCACAGGTCAAAGCTGCGATGGATGTCAGTTCTGTGGAAGAGACGCTGTGCAACTCGAAGCAAACGGCACAGACCACAGAGGCGAAAAACCCTACCAATGCAAACACTGTCCCAAGAAGTTTAGCCTAAAACATCAGCTCGATACCCATCATCGCGTCCACACTGGTAATTGTCTTACAACTGTTAACAGTTCTTTATATTGCCTGGAGTCATGTATTTAAAGAAAACTCTTTATAAATCATTGTCCATTTATTAATCAGTTTGAAAAGGCCTGTGCTAACTGCGTGTGTGTGTGTGCGTGTGTGCGTGTGTGTGAGTGGTGGTTGTCGGGGGCAGCAAACTACAACTTGTGGGAAAATTAGTTGGATAGACAAATTTTAGCATGGAGTCCAGAAATCTGGCCCTTTTTGGAAGAGTAGGTAAACTGTAGGGCCGCTGAAAGAAAATCTTTTGCACAAGCCAAGGAGTAATGGCAAACATGTTAAGAGAGGTTCAATCGTCAAATGAGACCAAAGTTAAACTATTTGGCCTACGTGCTAAACATGTTTTTTTTTCTCTGGTTAATATACTTAAAAGCCAGTCGGCCCTATGGGTGTGGTGTTTTGGGGAGGCTTTATTTAGCATAAAAAGGGAACATTCAGAGTTGGGTAGGTGGATGGAACTAAATACAAGACAGTCCAGGAAGCAAATGCATGAGCCGATGCGAGACCTGAGACTTGACAAGAGATTCACATGGGTGGTTTAGAATAGAGCATAATCACATTTAGACACAGATCTGATTTTGGGTATTTGGCAATACCTGGAAGTCTATCTTCACAGAGGAATGAAATTCATATACTGCGTTAAATTTTAGATTATCTGTGCTTTGGAGATTTTTATCTGTAAAAACATTTTTTTAAAGGTTGCATAATTGTTCTTCTAATTCAGAATTAAACAATTATTTGTACTGACCTGACAAATAAGAGGGTAATAACTATTTACATGTCCCTCTGCATTTCAGTAAACTCTTAAAAAATATTAAACAATTCAAAGAGCAGCTTCACTCCACCGAACTGCTTCTAATTAAGTTATAGGATTTTGAAATGACACTTTCTAGCGACTTTTCGCACCTTTAGTTGCTTGCCTAAATCAAATACTGCATGTTCTAACCAAACATGCACCCTGACTCAAAAAAAGTTTTTTCTAAGTGAGACTACTTATTCAAATTAAAATCTTTCTATTAGCTGAGCTGTTTTGTAGTCAAATGACAATACGGTTCAACGTATATTGTAATAGAAAGTATTTTGCAATATTGTAATATACATACATTGCAATATGTAAGTACTGGTTTCTGGGGGGTGATTTGGAAATATGTTATCTTTGGTTCAATTGTAATTTATTTTATATTTTGTCTTTGTTTAATATAATTTTGACAAAATGAATCAGATGTTGTTTATTGACTACTCTAACCTCCCCATATCTATTATATTAAATTGCAATAAGATGCATCAGATTTTGTGGTCTTGAAAAGACAAACCTTTTACCATCTTTAATGGGTATAATTTTTATTATACTATACAAAGCCTTTCATAAGCTGATTAGTTGTTGTTGAAGAAATAAAGGGGGTTATGCTAAGGTGTGGTAATATGCAAATATCCTCATACTTTCTTGAACGTATTCTCTTACGCATTTCTGTTTTTCCAAAGTGCTGAACATTTTTCTAAAGAAGGCTAGAGGTAGAGTTTTAAATTGCTTTCCAAGCAGCTCACTGTTTTCCACTCATTTTAATATCATGAACAACTCAAAACAGACAAACTGAAACTGTCAGATCTCAATCTTCCATGAGGTAGAAGATCTATCATTCAAAAGTAAAAATCTGGGCTACATGCAGTGCGGCTGAAATTTGCATTCCTGATAAGGTGGAATGCAAACCTCTAGATCATATATATATATATATATATATATATCTATATATATCTATATATATAGATATATATAGATATATATTCTTTTTATATCCTTTTTTAAGCTCTTGTATGGCATTTTTCAGCGTTAATGTGCATGAATATGATAATTTGATAACATTAAGAACTCAGTTTTTTCTCTAATATTCATAAAAATTTGCATCTTTATATAATATTTCTAATATCTAATCTAATATTTCATATTTGGATTACTTGTAATAACAGGCATAAGCTGACTACCTCTCTAAAAGACTATAATTAGTCTGAAAGCTGGAAGATGCAAACATTTCATGCTGCAAAAACAGTTTTAGACTTTCATTATTTTCTCCAACTGTCACACATAAATATTACTGTAGCTAATGATTTTCTAAAGATTTTTGTTACACTAACATAAATCAGATAAACAAACTGACAAAGTGGAACAAAGCCTCAAGTTAAGTTAGATCTGGATGATTATGATGTAAGTGTCCCAGTTTAGGTGATTTCACGCTTTAATGCAATTCATCTCTGAAAAGGAAAGAATTTTTCACAGAAGTGATAGAATTTACTCATCATTACAGGTCTACGTTTTGCCAACATCTGACAAAAACAAAAAAATATGCAGAAGGAGCAAAGGCCAGAAAAATAAATGTTAGATTCTCTCTTCCAACACCTTTAACGTCTTCCTTCCTGCCTGTTCTTTTGTCTTAAGGAGAGAAGCCATTTGAGTGTCGCCTCTGTGGTCAACGCTCACGGGACTACTCTGCTATGATAAAACATCTGCGGACCCATGATGGGGCTGCACCCTACCAGTGCACCGTGTGCCTGGAGTTCTGCAGCAGCCTGGTCGCTATGCAGAGGCACATCAAGAGCCATGCAGTGCAGGACTTCCCCCCTGACTGGAGCATCAGCAACACCTACTTATACATCTCCCACATATGAGACCATCCTAACAAGCTGTAGCCTGGTGTTCCTTGTGTAAGACTGTTAAAGTTCAGTTAAGCACTGTACTGATGATCATAGCTAATAATCTGCTTTACCCAACCAACAGTAAAGCTCGATTTAAAAAGAAATATATTGCTCTTCTTGGAAGTATTAAGAGCTAACTAGGCTTTGAAGGGTGTAAAATCTATGCAAAGTGAAACTGTTCTCTATTTGCATTCACAGTAATAGGAATTCCATGTGCAGTACTATTTTCCAGTGACATTAAAGGTTTTGAAAGTGTTTACCGGGCATTAAAGCCACATCAGCATCTAATCCCCGATGCATGACGCAGGAATCCTCCCTCTGACTTTCAAAATTATTAGACCGCTTTGCAGCTGTGAACTGGGTTTTTAGCGCTCTCAAGAGGACATTTACTGAAAACAAAATTCTGCTTCCATTGACATGAGGCTTTGTATGCTATTGACTATGAGAATTATCTTATAACAAGGTAATGATAATACAGTAAAGATCAAAGAGAATAGTGGAATTACCTTGAGCTTGGTAGGGTTATATGTATGTTAGTATGCATGTGTGAATGTTGGCATTTCTTGAAAGCTGATCCCCTAGTATTTTACAGATTATTGTAATCAGTGAATTCTGAGGTATCAAGACTTAAATTTAATTTGTATTAAAGAAATGTTTTTTTAACTGCAGTTTTAGGCAGTTAACGGTTAATATATTAGTATTACTGCTCGATAGAAATGAATGTATTCAAACTGTTAGAAGTATTATCGTCTGATCTAGTGATTTATGATTTCTTTATTTTAGCTTAAAAAACTACTAGATTACTTTTAGCTTTCTCATAGCTCATTACTTTTTTTGGAAAATACAATAAATAAAAAAACATTTTCAGATATCTTGAATAAATGAGCATTTAAGATTGTTTTTCTATTAGTGGGGGTCTTTTGTCTTTCTGTCACTGCCAAATGCATGTTTCTATTCATTTAAGATTATGTCCTTCCGATTAAACAGTACTCAGCAGACGAAATGCTTTTTATAAAAGTTACACACAAAGGTATTAAACTGATGTTTTCTCAGTAGTTTATGTTTGCAATACGAAGTATTATACAACGCTTCCTGAAGGGAGCTTCTAGTAATACTCACAGGCCTTCTTCCACTATAAGATAAGTGTGGATTTTAGCAGCATTATCATAATATGTAAAATAATGATATTCAATAAATATGTATTTTTATTTTCCAGCCAATCATTTATCAAATATGCCATGTTACTACTGCACGAAATAAACATGCTTGCCAATAAGAGTAAACTTCCGAGTTCTTGCACAAATCTCATTTAAATGGGTTAAAACATATTAAGCCATAATTTCCTGACTGAATTAAGCCTCTAAAAGAATTTACAAAAGCAGTAGCAGTTACCATGGTGATTCTGTGCCGCCAGCCTGCTCCAGGCTTAACTAAGCCTGGTGCCTTATCTGTTTTTTATCTGTCTATATAAAATTACAACTAATACAGATTGGTTTTTACTCAAGTACTCTAATTATTTTAACATTATGGATGCCTACACCATTATTAACTTTAGACTTCTTTACATTGACATTGTTACTGTTCGATTGTGTTTTTATGGTAGGCTGTTGTTCCAAGTTTGGCACAAAGGCCTTTAATTAAATTTTATGGCATGCATTGAAGGAGTTAGAGAAATAGCTAATAAAGAAGCTGGTTTCTTGTCCTCAAACCTAAGCCATATGCGTCTTCCTTCACAGTGATTTGTCCTTTTTTAATTATTCGTAAAAAGTACCTGAATGAGCATTACAGCTTTCCTGGAGTTGGCATCAGCTACCTGTGCAGACTACAGGATCCCACATTTCAGCACAACACATAGCAGAGCCATGACCCATTGACCATTTTAAAGATGCTGAAAAATGTATTATGGTTACTATTTGCTAAACCATCAGAAGTGCCTATAAACTGTTATACGGACATCTTCATTACCTTTTCCTTCAACAGAAGTATGTACTGCATTGAGGAGGGAGTAAATCATTGAAGGTAATATAAAGCAGGGCACACAACACAAACTTTAGAACAGGTGGACTACTTGTTGTTTTTATGAAGGACACCCTGACTCCATCCCCTTTTCAACCAGAAATTATTTTTGTAAATAGAAGTCAACTACACACATTTATTATGTGCACTGAATTACCTGAACACAACTTATTGCTTAATATGATGTATTATAGTGACTGCAAGGCCTGGCGTCATTTCAAGAAGCAGGTTTAAGAAATTCTGATTTAAGTCTGCAAATCATAATTGATCTATCCAAAGCTCTGGAGTTTTCATTTTCACAACGGCTGTTATGAATTTGTTCAATCAACTCTAATTAGGTCCACTCAGAGTTTAACATGTGTGAAAAGCCATTATCAGTGGAACGCCAATTCGATGAGTCACCATGACAACAGGCAAAATGAAGTACCTAGTTCATTCCACTAGATCTAGAGTTTTTAATGAAGAAATACAAAAAATTGAGAATTTGTTTAAAAGACAGAAACAGCGCTACAGATTCAAAGAAGAGGAAGATGACGAAGGAGAAGTTTGTTGCTTGAGTTAGTGCGTATATGAATTGGGTTATGGCAGGCCGTTATTACATTTATTAAAAGCACTCTCCTCTCTGTTGTTCCATTTTTAGATCACTAAAATAAGATTCTTCCTGATTAAAATCCCTCCTAGAATTAACTGTAATTACATTTTTCCAGTAGAAACTGAATATCAGAAAGTAAAAAAAAAAAAAAATAAATTATACTAGTAAGTATTAAGTTTTATATACCTAAAAATATTTACACATTTTAAGTGGCCGTTTTGACATTTATGAGCATGATTGAATATGTATTTATGATATTTGAAATACATAGCTTCATAGTGAAAATAATTCAAATGCTGACCAGAAACATTAGAAGATAATATGGAGATCTGAAATGAACTTCTAGACATCAGAATATTTATTCTAGATGTTAAGAGTGGCAATTTGTTGGAAATTTTCATTTTGACAGGGACACATTTTATTTCCAGATATCAGGAATACATATTCCGTAAAACGAATTCGTATCAAAATCTACAACTCTAAATTGATCTAGCCTAAAGTGTGTGCGACGTGACAAGCTTAAAAAGCCATCATCAGACTGAACTATAATAATATATTTTCTAAATAAAATTTTTGCAGCAGAAACTGAATCTCAGAAAAAAAAAGTATACTATTAAAAATAAAGTTTTATATACTTGTCCTTGAGTTTAAGTGGCCGTTCTGGGATTTATCAGCTTGACTGATTATGTATTTATAATATCTAAAATAAATTTCTTCATAGATTCTAGACATCATGTCAGGGCTCCTGTCTGTGTGTTTGTTTTTGTGTTTGTCTCCCTTCCACCAACAGGAGGCGCCTGGTTCCAGGTCGCCTCCTCACACACCTGCTGATGGTTACCTCATTAACGGAGTGCTCTTAAGCTGCTGACTGCCACTACCTCGACGCCAGAGTGTTTGCCAGTTTTTGGTACTCTAGCCAAGCTGAGTTTTCACTGAGTAAGACTGAGTTCTTGTCTCGATGAGTTTTAACTTTGTTTTTTGTCTTTGCCTCTCGGCAGGAAGTCATCCTGCAAACTGGACCTTTTCGGACCTCCTCTCCCAGGAGGGATCAACTGAGTCTAAACTGAGCCTGGAATTCAAACAGGAGGTTTGGATCCAGTCTCCTTTAAGGACGTTGAAATTACTCTCTGAGCAAGGGAATCATCTTCACTACGACCCGTTCAAGTACAGCAGGAAATCTGAGTGGCAATCAGCTTCTCCGTTCCCCTACACTGTCTGAGTTCTAGGTAAACCCTGTTCCGCCCTCCACCGAGTCAGACAAACTCTGGAAAACCAACACACAGCTTGGAGTCAAGGATCCTTCACTTCTCTGGAAACGTGAGTCAACAATCAGATCCTCTCCTTCAAGATCAACGAATCAAATTTCCCACTGAGCCTGAACCAACAGTCTGTCTTCCCCTCGCCTTCCAGTTCTGGCTGAGCAGAGTTCAGGGAAACTCTGAACCGAGCTTAACATCTTCAATAAAATCCATCAAACTCTTCATCCGTCTCTCTCTGTTTGGTTTCACTGCATGTGGGTCCGAGCCTTAGATAAAATCAGGACACATCAAGAATATTTATTCTACATGTGAAGAGTGTCATCTTGACAAGGGAAAAGAGTATATGTTTTTTCAGATACCAGGAATACCTATTCAGCAATACTAATACATTGTCAGGGTTTGGTTGAGGTTTGAGGATCCAAATATAGAGGCTGAGAGGTAGATGTGAGTTCTTGCAGTTTTTAATGAATCAACACAGGTAACAGAGGCTGGAATCCAAAATCCAACTTAAAATGTAAAACTTAACCAGAACCAAGTAGACATCAGGAGAAAAGAGCATGTAGAGTCAGGGAAAGGCAAGGAGAGACGAGGTAAGACGAGGAACCAGCACTGAGGAGCTGCACAAGGAGAGTATTTATGGTAGACTGAACAAAGAGAAGACTAACGAGCAGATTGGGAACAGGTGTGAAGAGAGCAGTCCAGGAAGGAGCTAGGGAAAAGGAGACAAACACAAGAGGGCAACAAATAAAAACCTAAGAACTCAAATATATCCAGAAAATACAACAAAATAGGAATTAAACCAATAAAACTGGAAAACATGGAGCAAAGTAAAACATAACAGAACCAAGACAGTGACATATCAAATTGGCTTGCCATAGAAATTGTGAACATGATGATATAACGGGTTTATTCCTTGAATAGTAGTGAATCAATGTATACTATTTAGGGTCAAACATCTGGCAGCAGCGTATTACTATCTGAATAAACAGCTGAATTAACAAATCTATTAATATTTAATCTCAAAATAATCTTAGTAATTCCTCAAGCAACTACTGTAAAAATAAACAGAAAAAATAAAATGATCCGCTTGTGGCTCATATTAAACAAATCAAAAACAAATAAACTGAGTTGTAGAATCATCTCCCTTTAATTATTGGTGAAGAAAGTGCCCATCATTCTCTGACATGATCCTCGTCAAATGACATGCAATATTTGTTTAAAAAAAAAAAAAAAACAGTGTGCGTATGATATTTTTTCATTGTATGCACAAAACTACGACCAGACTCTCCTGATTAAATCAGAAAATAAAATGGTGAACTGTAATTACATTTTTCCAGTAGGAACTGAATTTCAGAAAGTAAAAAAAAAAAACAAATGGAGACAGAGGACACTCCGTGTTTACTGAAGAAAACCTGTTCCCGACCAGGTTAGCTCTAGGGAGAATGTTACTATGGTGACTAAAACAGAGGTTGACTAAACTCTCTTTGTAAAATGGAAAACTCAGATTTTCCCATACCTCAGGTTTAGAAAACTTAGTTTTCAGTAAACCTCCTTCGTTAAATGGACCCCAGGCAGAGAAAGGCACATGCAGAATCTGAGTCAAATATGTGCAGAAAAGGAGTGGAGAGGGACCACAGTACAAATGGCGGAGTTTGTCAGACCCTAACCCCTTCCTGTATTCAGGCCCGCTGCAACAAAGCAAGCAAAACAAGCAATTTTTTGTGGCCCCGAGCGGGCTGGGGGGCCCCAGACAATGGCTAACCCGGTTTTGAACTGCATAAATTGACTAACAGTATGAGTGCGAATCATGAGGGCTAAATGTTACCATATAGGGTAAAACTCCATCAAAGAATAGTGGTGACCTGCTCCTCTTGTGCCGCTCTGGTTATGAGGCTGATGATCTGCACCTGTGTGGTGAACAATCTGGTGGGATCAACATTAAATTCCCCCAAATCTTTGACAATATAGTGATTATTATTTAATTATACCCAGTCACAAATACATGGTAACATCTATCATAATAATTATGCTTGGGACAAGCTGAACATATTCAGCATATTTTTTTTCTCTCCCCATCGCCACCAGGATGTGCTGCAGGACCCCCAGCACCCCCACTTCCCCATGATAGTAAGGAAAGACACATTCCGGATGTTACACTTTTTATTGCTTAATGAGTAAATATGCAAAAATTCTTAATCATTTTTTTTATTAAATTTTTTGTTCTATCTCTGAGCAATAGATGTCCCTTAATTCCTTAATCTAAAATAAAAATCTGGTCACCTTAAGCTGGAGGAGCTCTTTTAAGCCTTATAACATTTCTAGAATAAATTTCTGTCCAAACCAAGTCATACACAATCTCAAGCAAAAATACAAAAATAGGGCAGTAAAGTGCAGTCTATTTGTCAGTATTACATTTTATTCATGCTCTTGCTTTTTTACAATCCATGTCAATTTTAGTGAAAAAATGCTTAACCAAAATTTGTTTATCAATAGATGAATCTATACACATTTAAAAGTAAAGTAAATCTTTGAAGTCCTTCCAGGATTCTATTACAGAATCTGCTCTGCACTTGCTTCGTTTTCATTACTGTCTGACCTTTCCTCCTGAATGTCACCGATAGTAAACCGAACATGAGACGGAGACTTGTCCTTGTCCTCCATAGCTGTTCTCTCTGCAAAAGCTACCCAGTCTCTGCAGGCCTTGTGGCTTTGGGCATTGCAATCAGCCAGAAGCATCAGCTGGTGTGCTTGGCTGGCACTACAGTTAGGCAGTGGTACCTTGTAGGTGCTGTGAAACCGACGCAGATCCACTCGAAATGAGCCTTTCTCCAATGTCATACATGGTTCAAAGCGTGCACCCCACTCAATCTCTGTTTCAATGTAAGATGTTTTGGCTTGGCACATCATTCCTGTTGGGAAAAGGTTAAAAAAACACACACATTAAATAGGTGGATCCCTTGTAATTCCCACTGTGGGCCACATGATGTCCCTATTTGTTCACATCTCCACACACAAGGAGAGGAACACCATGATGCCCATCTTTGTTACTAAGAAACGATTACATATTTCCTTTGTGTACCTGTGTGTAGTAAATAATTCTGAAACCGGATAACTGATTTTACCAGGTGCAGTTTCTTTAAGATGATAAACATTGTTATTTAGCTAATGCAAGTAAAACTTTACGCAGATTTTTTTTAGATTTCTGAGATTTTGCAAGATGATTATGGGACTGGTTGACTTAATGTTCAATATTTGAACATTAAATGAAGTCTGCGCATATGGATTTAGGTTAAGCTCATTTAAAAACGAAAAATAAAAACAACCTTAGGACTTGGAAAACATACAAGCCATATTTCGTTCAGCGGTGGAGTATGGAGTATAGATTTGCACTGACAAAAAACTGCTGATTGTAATTTGTTTGTATTTTAGTCTATCACAAAAAAAAGGCAAACATAATCATGCTGATCAACTGACACCAGCAAACTTTTAGAAGACTCCAACAGATGTCATCAAGTACCCAAGTTATGTTAGAGCTGGTTCAATCTTGCATGTGGAGTTTTGGGTGGATACTGCAGAGGATGATAAAAGAAAAACAAATATCTTCAGAACTTTAATGGGGGAAATTGCCATCTGGTTTTCATCACAAAGCAGTCCAATGTTTGTTGTTGGTGCAAAACCACCCTTAACACAACGCAGAATCTTTGAATACGGATCAAACATTTTGCTGTTACAGCAATACTGATAACAAGAACATCTTGGAAGGAAGCGTTTGATAAACATATGTAAAGATAACAGCAAATATTTCTCCCTTTTTCTAAATTTGAGCTACTTTGTGCCTCTTGCATTTTATCTCAGTCATGCATATGTGAAAAGTAAAAAGAACATTTTATTTGTTAAATAATGTTTGAGAACAACAAATAAATAAAGGATTGACTGACATGGTAGATAGATCAGGAGAGATTGCCTGATTAGCGATTGACCTGGCTAACTAAGAGAAATATTAAATAGATTAATTAAACACAGAGTAATATATTTCAAGTGGAATTTTTGTTCTATCAAGTTACGGTTAAGTAACCTATGGTTGTGTTATGATAAAACATTTCTGTACATATATTCTTTTTCATTGGACTTATGTAATTTTCCTTTTTTTGTTTCTGAGTTTTGTCATTGTAAACCATCTGAATTGAACGAAAGAATCTCCTATAATAAGTTTAATAAAAAAATACAGTCACATTGGAAAATGTACGTCCAGGTTTGGGGTTTGATTCTACTTTTTATTGTTGTTGTCCTTTATTTTCCATTTTTATTAGTTTAATCTTTTGACAGTAACTCGGGTTAATTTATTCCTTGTCTCTAGTGGTTCTTTGTTAGTTTTAGATTTATTTTCTTGTCTTCTGTGCTTAACCTCCCTTGAACACTGCAGCCATTTTTCTCTCCTTGGTCTCTCTTCTGCTCTTTCCTCCCACATCTGCAAGCTGTTAGCCACAGGTATTTTCCCATTTCCCTGAATTCTTGTGTTCCCTGGTCTTTCTCTTGTAAATTTGTTTATTTCATTAATTAAACATCAAAAGACTACTTATATGTATAACATTCTTTAGAGAAATCAGAGACTACGTGTGAAGAAAAAAATAATCTAAAGCAGAACTAGACCCTAAAACATGCCAATGATCCAAAACAAACCAGTAAAATCACCAGCTTTATCCCAAACAGGCACCTAAATAGTAAACCTAAGTATTTGGTGTAATTCCAGCCTTTATGAGTAATCTCATGAATTCTGCACTAAGAGCAGCCCCTAAAAAAGGAGTATTCGTCACTATTTTATGTAGAACAGTGATTGCACAGCTTCTACAGAAAGTAGCTACTTTATCTGTGCTGTGCTCACCCAGTAAACAATATTTCCACTTTTTCTAATCAGTGATCGGTGATCTAAGGCAAAGCACGATCATTTCGTCTAAAAGTTAAGATAAAATGAGTCTTTTAGAAACTAATCTACCAAGTGATAGCAGCTTTCAGCAAGTGTCTACATTGCAAAAAGGTCAGAGAATCTAAAAGAAAAAACAATTATTTAGAAAAGACCTTCATATGGCTGAATGTATCCTTTCTTTATAATACCAGAATTAGTAAATTCTAGTAAATGTTTTTGTCACTCTACCAACCTAAGTTTAGCCTGTCTACCCTTAGGCTTTTCATTGCCTTCTTTTTTTCAGAAATGTTTGCTCATCCTTAGCTGAGCTCTTTGAATTCAGCTTGGTCTTCTATTTCATAGCTGTTTTTTTGATCAAGGCAAGTCTCCTCATAAGTCTTTTCAAATAAATAAATTTTGTTACCTCAAAAAGTCGCTTGATTAAGCCAGTGGAAGTCCTTCATCCTGAGTCAATCGCTATACCTCAGAATTTCAGATTCAAGTGTTAGACTTTTCTCTTCTTACCAGTACTCCACTAATTAATGCTTAGAACTGATTTTTGGAGTTTTTCTTATGCTCTCTTTATCATTTGCAGCAACATGTTTGAAGATTTTTTGGACCAGTTTTATTGGCTTCTTCAGAAACTCCTGTTCTTCCTACCAGATTGAACCCTCCTCAAGAGCCTCACGATTTTCTGCTCTTGTAATAATCTCAGCAATGTTTAAGGCACCTTGTATTGACGGATATATTTTCTCGGTTTCATTGTGTCAATGATTTCTGCTCTGATCTAAACAATGTGAGAACCGTTGATCACGAAGTTCAGGACCCAGTCAGCCAGGGTTGGACTCAGTCCAATTGAGAAAAGAATCCGCATCAAGGGCCATGGGATGAGGACTTATTTTAGGTCTCCGAATTGTTTTTGTTGCTCAGTTGCAAGACAGCAACGTGTTTAACCCCTTCACCACTGCCACACCTCAATGGGTTCATGCCATTGGGGCGTGATGGCATTGACTCGTTTTCTCCATATGAGCTTTGAACTTCTTTTCCATCTCTTCTTCTTTGCCATTACCTGACCTCCATCTCTGCCAGTAGACCATTCCTATATCTCTGACTTTGACTTTACCTACTTTCTTAGCTTCAGACTCAAGCGTCTTAAACTCCAGTCCTAGTTCATTCTCCACCATGTTGCATGGCCCTATATTGACGAAGATGATTGCTTGGTGAAAATACTTTTTGTTAAGATTCTTTCTTGTTTAAGCTGTTTCATGGTTTTTCAAAAAAATACTTTATGTGCCCAAGTCTTTTACTTGTGTTGACAGTTTTCTTTAGATTCCTAATCCTTTTTCCTTTGTCTTTTCTGCTGTGTGTTGGTTATTAAATGTCTGTTTCTCTTATTGTCTCCTGCCCAAAACCTTTGTAACCTCTTTACAAGATTCAATAATTTGAGAAAACAGGAAATCTGTTTTACCAGTGGCATCTTTAGGGTAATTAAAGAAATTCTCTGTATATCTAAGACTTAATTAAAAAAAAAGGAAACATTTTTAATACTTCCTCCGTTCCTTAGGTGAATAAAAGGTCTATGCTATGATTTTATTCTAAAGGTCTGGTTTCAATAATAAAGTGATGTCTGGTTTTCGTAGCATCCTGTGGGATTTCCTGTCTTGACATCATTTCCTAGGTCTCCTTCTGGATCCTATTCCAGTGCATTTTTCTGTAAAGGGCTTCTTTAAGACTGTATGGCACGTACGTTCTCCTCATCTATGCAAATCTGACTGCTTTACCGCAAATAAGTGCTTTCTCATTTGTTGAAAAAATAAGAAGCATGAGCTACCAGCCCCTGTTAAAGGTCTCTTTGTTCAGTTTCTGCAGAATTGCAACAATCCAGTCAAAACCCTCTGGCTAAAAAAGAAAATTTAAAGGGAAGAAGGTAGTGCCTTTCCCTGGCCAGAAACGGTTCTCGGATCAAAGGAGTGGCTGAATTGCATAATGTCTGCTGTAATGTTTTAGGGTTGGGTTCTGAGACAAACAACTGAAAAGAGATTGTATTAGAAAAAATATGCATCTGCTCTTTGCAAAGCTTATGTAATTTGGTTACTAAGAACAGAAAATCCCCTTTCATTTTAACCTTGACAATCGCTATGTCTTACTAATATATTGCATCCTTCGAAACTTTTTACATTTTATTATATTATACAAAGTGCCTACTCTAATGGCCTGTGACAAAGAAGGGAATAAAAGTGAAATTAGAAATGATTAACGGTTTGCAAAATTTCTAACAAATTAAAGCCATTAAAGTATCACATGATGCACTTGGCTCTGGAATGCTGGTACCCCTAAATCACTATATTTTTTTTGTTTTCCTCAAGATAAACATGGAGCTTATAAGAAAATGATAAAATTATTATCCATTAAATGTTTAACAATTTTTTTTATCAGTTTTTCAGAACAATAGACATCACAGTAAGTTCAGTCTATCATAATATTACAGACTGTTAATATTATAATATTAACAGAAATATACTATTTTGCTTAATGCTTAAGGTATGATCACCCCTAACACGATTTTGTGGCCATAGCGAAAAATTTAAGCTTGCTTTATGCTTGATACATCTGTTAGGTCCACATAGTTTTTGGTTTCCATGCCCCTGTGCGCAGCGTCCATGCAGACAGATTTATGCACAGTACACCAAGGAAAGTTTCTAACTACGTAAACAGATCCACGCCGAAAAATGTGCACATGCAACAACAGCTCCAACCGGCGAAGGTGAAAATGTAAATATCTGGAACTCACTTCCTCCCGACCTCCGCAGTATTGACTCTCTCCCCTTATTCAAAGCCAAACTCAAATCCCATCTGTTCCAGCTCGCTCATCTGTGAATACACTGCTCTTTTCCTTATCCATGATTGTTTTTTATGTTCCTGTATCTGTATTTTGTATTTTCATCTCTCTTTTTATTTATCTTTTGTATTATTTGTAAAGTGACCTTGAGTGTCAAGAAAGGCGCTGCTAAATAAAATGTATTATTATTATTATTATTAAAGATATCCTGTGATTTAGCTTATAAATACCACCACTATTGACAGATTGAGGAAAAATCCTGGAAAGAAATGACTGCTGCTCTTGGACACCACAAAGAGGGTATGAAAAAATTGCAAGCGGTTGTTTTTTCTACTTTCTGTATTGTAGTGTTTCAAGCTTGGTGTTTGTACTCTACACACCCCCCTGAGTTAAATGGGGGAAAAGCCATACAGAGATTTGTATCCATTTTAATTTAGCCTCAGAAGGACTGTTGGTTGTCCTCCCTTTGTTCCAGTGCAGGCACCGGCCACCCGGCCAGCCACCGCTAACAGGCCTCTACATTCACAGTTGTCCTCCTCTGATCTCCCTCTGTGGTTCCCTAGCTCTGGAGAGCGGCACTGCCAGCTGCCTTGCCCCGGTTCTGGTGCTCTTTCTGGTGGTGTTCTTTGTCTGATTTCCATGTTACTTCAGTCTGAGCTTCAGAACACCATCACACCTTAAGCTTCATGGAAAGAAGATAACGTATAAAATAAGCTATGGAACATTTTCTCTGAAGACAGGACTTGAAAGAAGCTTATGCTTGCAAGCTGGTATGACGTCTGTCGCTGATAACTGTTGCATTACATCTCCTCCATTGTAGCCTAACAAACAAACTAACCATCTTTACCGAGAGGATAGAGCCAGCTAAATCATTCTTGACAAATCTACTGAAGTAAGTTTACTGAACTTATAAAATAAATGAAAAAAATCTCTGAAAACAGATCTTAAAGAAGCTTACAGTAGCCTGCTTGTATGACTTTTGTGAAGAACAGCATCTGATAACTGTCTCAGCACAGCTCACTCAGGGTTGAATAACAAACACACTACCTGCCCTACCTGCCATGGGGACAGACTAACTGGTGGAGTTACCTTACCATTATAGCAGAAAGCATAAGACCTCTCCGTGTATTTGGAAGCCCCTTTCCCTCATAAACTGTCTGCATCTGGTAAAATCAGCCTTTCCTGCTTATTGCAACGTCTTATATTTTTTTGGTTTGTTTCTCTTGCCTCTTCTTGGAAAAGATTATGGATGATGTTCCATTGCAATAGAAAGTGGAAGGTAGAATGATGTATGGTTGTTTTTTTCCTTGCTTTAAACTCCTCTGCCACAGAGAACACCCTTTTCAGATATATTGGATAAAATGCATAAGGTTTAAAAGTTTGTCCTCTTTCAGTTACTATAATAAAAAATGGTGATGCAACTTGGCTTCTCCCATTGGGTACATCCAGCCGTGTATTTATACACAAGTAATTTTAAGCTATAAGAAAGCATTCGTTCTGGATGTAAAGTTAGACTTTTGTAGAATATTTATTAATTATAGCGATACTTGGTTATTGATAATGAAAAGAAGAAATTGTTAAGTACTTTGCCTTTAAGATTCAATTAATGTAACTACAGCTGAAGTAACTACATATCTTACTACTGTGTTATACCTTTATAAAGTTAGTTGCTACTAACCTGTGGCCTCAACAATTCCTTCCAAGATAACAATTATCTCAAACTGTTGCCGTCTAAGTTGCTCAGGGCCCAGGTTCCACAGAGGACTGTTGACATCAATGTTGTGCTTTATGACTTGAGGTTCAACGAGGAAAAGTCTGTCCGATCCAGTTTCATAACCAAGATCAATCTCTGTCTGTTCAAGAGGCAGGAATTCTCCCTCGGCTGTCTGGCGGGACTTGATTAACTTTGCTCTAACCTTTGCATCCACCATGTGACTTTCTCTCAGGTCTCCGATACGAAACATCAGGCATAGCTGGTCATCCCGGTTTGCAATGACACATGTACGACTGAAAAGAAGTGTCTCAGCTCGCTTTTTAGGGCGGGATATTTTCACAAACATACAGCCCACCATGAGGGCATCTATCATGGAGCCTACAATGCACTGCAACATGACAAGCAGGACGCCCTCTTGGCAGGAAGCGGATACAGTCCTTGAACCATAACCAATGGTACGCTGTGTTTCCACAGAGAAGAGGAGAGCGGATATGAAACCGTCTATACCCACGTAGCAAGCATATTGTTCCCCATATTTGTTCTGATTAGTACCAAGAGGTCGCTCTTGTACTAAGTCACCTCTAATGGATGCGTTAATGTAATAGAGCCCAGCAAATAAGAACCAAGTCGTTATATAGCACATCATGAAAACAAATAGAAACCAGCGGTACTGGAGGTCCACAAAAGAAGTAAAAATATCAGACAGAAAACGACCCCTTTCATCAATATGGCCCAGGTTGACTCTGCACTTCCCATCCTTGGACACATAGCGATGTTGCTCTCTGGTTTCAGGGGGAATTCTGGGTGTTTGTTGGTTCTCACTCTCCAGTAGTTTACTGCGAGCCTTGGCAAGCCTCTCTATTTCTCTTCCAGGGCTAGAAATGCTGCTGTGTGCTGGTGAGATAGGGCTGCTGAGGAGAGGAGTGCTGTTGAGGAAATGGAGCGGGCTGGATGAGCCCATGTTTGGGACACTGAGAGCATGTCGACGGAACCTTGAGACATTGTTGGTTTCAATCAATGAACAGCGACGCCAATTACTCTGCTCTTTATCTGCGTTGTCTGAAGGGCAGGGAGGAAGCAAGCAAATGCTTGGATGAGGAATATCTGTAGTGCTTTTAGAACCTCTCTTGGTCGGTGAAAAATCAGGAAAAGTCCCTGGCATGGAGTTGTTGACTCTTCTGTCTGTCTCCGCCTAAGGAAAGAAATCCAGACGTAACCATTTCCAGCTGAGATCATAGCTAATGCACAAAAGTCACTGAGTGCATTGCAGTTCAACCCACTGCAGAGGCTAAGCTTTTTATTTTTAAACACAAATGCAATAATGACAAAGCACCACTATTTCTTTCAATTTAAAATATAAAGATAACCTGGTTACCATTTTTTTGGTACTTGGATTTTTTTGGCCCAAGTAAAGGAATTTTCTCCCACCAGATGTTTCACACATGAACACTTGAAGTTTCAAAGATTCAAAAACATCTAACATCCAAACACAAAGGTTTAATATAATAGAAATTAAGAAAAAAGTTTAAATCAAAATTTCAAGCAATTTTAGCTTTATTCCAGTTTCTATGTTTAAAAATGTATTTCACAAATAATGACATTTCTAACTTTTTCATCTTTTCTTTGTAAGTATACTTTTCTGGTAAAAAAAAAAAAAAAAAAAAAAAATCTTTAGATTTCAAGCACATCTTGGAACAATGCATCTGTAATCCCAAATAACTTTAACTGATTCTTTTTTGTGTGCATGTACATTTTGATTGAGCATTGAATTGGGACAAATATTCCTGTATTCAAATATAAAATTGTGCTTGAAAGTTTACGAGTCCGAATCTGACTCGTTTCCGGTGAGGGTTGGACTCCGCCAAGGTTGCCCTTTGTCACCGATTCTGTTCATAACTATTATGGACAGAATTTCTAGGCGCAGCCAAGGTGTTGAGTGGATCTCTCTTGGTGGCCTTAGGATTGCATCTCTGTTATTCACAGATGATGTGGTTCTGTTGGCTTCATCAGGGTGTGATCTACAGCTCTCACTGGAGGGGTTCGCAGCCGAGTGTGAAGCGGTCAGGATGAGAATCAGTGCCTCCAAATCCGAGACCATGGTCTTGAGCCGGAAAAGGGTAGAGTGCCTTCTCCGGGTCGGGGAGGATGTACTACCCCTTGTGGAGGAGTTTAAGTATCTTGGGGTCTTGTTCATGAATGAGGGGAAGATGGAGCGGGTGATCGATAGGCGGATTGGTGCAGCGTCTGCTGTGAAGCGTGCGCTGTACCGGTCTGTTGTGGTGAAGAGAGAGCTGAGCCAAAAAGCAAAGCTCTCGATTTACCGGTTGATCTACATTCCTACCCTCATCTATGGTCATGAGCTTTGAGTCATGACCGAAAGAATGAGATCCCGGATACAAGTGGCTGAAAAGAGTTTTCTCCGTAGTGTCTCCGGGCTCTCCCTAAGTGATAGGGTGAGGAGCTCGGTCATCGGGGGGGGGGACTCAAAGTAGAGCCACTGCTCCTCCACATCGAGAGGAGCCAGTTGAGGTGGCTCGGGCATCTGGTTAGGATGCCTCCTGGACGTCTCCCTGGTGAGAGGTTCCAGGCACGTCCCTCCGGGAGGAGGCCCAGGGGGAGACCCAGGACACACCGGAGGGCCTATGTTTCTCAGCTGGCATGGGCGCGCTTGGGATTCCCCCAGGGGAGCTGGCCAAAGTGGCTGGGGAGAGGGACGTCTGGGCCTACCTACTGAAGCTGCGACTCCCGCGACCCGACCCAGGATAAGCGGAAGAAGATGGATGGATGGATGGATGGATGGATGGATGGATGGATGGATGGATGGATGGATGGATGGATGGATGGATGGATGGATGGAT